GAGCAAAGTCCTCTCGTATTTCTTCTTGGCACGGCACGGAGAAGCGAGAGAGACTCTTCAGAACTTGTGTATAAATTCATTTGAGCATGCGCAAAGGTTGCTAAGCAACTGCCTATTTCCCAGAATAAGATTTAATAAGTAGTTTCCGGTTCGGATCAAAACCGGCTATAAAACTGGTATCAAACCTGAAATTACTCATAATTATCCAAGTTTTTGGATTGTTGGCTCCACAAAGAATATACACAAGTTCTGCAGAGTCTCTCTCGTGCTGAGAAGAAATACGAGAGGACTTTGCCCACAGGGTAAGCCTGTTACTGAAGTCAATAAAAAGTGGACAGTGATTGGGATGCACAAAAATAACAACCAATCAAAATGGCGATTGTTAATTACGTATCAGTCAATTCCAGCAGTGCCCATCCCCCCCGAGGTATTAGCCATTTCTGGGAAGAAAATGGCTATGTCCACAAGCCATTTGCAATCAAATTAAATATCAGTTTTCCAGCAAATCTACGAAATCCCCCATGATGGAAAATGTCAAAATCCTCACCCCAGGGCTAAAAAATATCGGCAATAGCCCCACCCCCATTATTAGGAAAAGCTGCAAAGGCCCAGGGGTGGGAACTGCTGAAATTAATTGATACATTAGATTATCAAAGCTAATTTAAAATATGACAATAACGGCCAACTTTTTCACCAATATCTCAAAACTAAATATTCCAATTTTCATCGAATGGCCAGGAATTACATATTAAATAATAATAATAATAATAACTGTTATTGACTGCAGCAAAGGCAGTCATTAACACGCCCAAAAGTAGTTAAAGTACAATTACAAGCACGGAATATTATTACATAAACAACAATTTGGCATTACCTTAAAAACAAAGCTACTGTATTTATTTCTGACCAATGGGAATTTTGCGTACGAATCATGTGCATCAATCCTTTTTACTGACCTCAGTAGCAGGCTTTATTTCAGTAGCAGGCTTTATTGTTTTCACCATTGTGTTCATACAATCTTGCAAATTTACTAGTAGGAATTTCCATTGTGTTTGCAGCCCTTACACTTCGTGTTTCATTATGGCATCTTGACCTTGAAAGAGTCTATTACTGTGGCTCCAACATTTTCCCGTTCGGCGTTAGAAACACAATACATTGATCATAAAATGACTGAAATATTACAGATTTAAAAGCCTGACACCTAGCGGCAAAGTTTAAATTTCACACAGGTAGTGATGAATGGTGATCACTGTGGTTGTATTTCGGTCTTGTTAGGCTACACCATGTTCTTTTGACCACCTATCCGTAACAGGATTATTTGCATCAACAGCCGTAAAAAAAGCACCCAAATAAACAGCAGTTTGCGAATATTATTGTTGCGATTTACAAAGGTTGTGGCCCGTTCCAACTTTGTAAAATTGAAAATTGTGAACTTTTGTCCTCTATTCCAAGCTTGTAGCCTTCCAAGTTTACTCACATAAAATGACTTTCGCTTTATAAAGTCTGTTTCATCGGAAAACTTTTAAGGTTCATCGGAAAAATAAAAAAATATGTACAAAATCGATAATACCATTCGCTTGTGGTAAGCGGCCATCTTGAATTCAGCGACGAATAGTAATGACGTAATTTTTATTTTTTATTAATGACGTAATTGTCATTTTGTGGCTAACGATCCAAGATCCGACACAAATGCGTGCCGAAACCTAGAGTCGCTGCAGGCTCTGCCCAGCAACTAATTACAGCAATAAAAAAACCTCAATTCGCAATAATCCACTTAATAGAAAAAGAATATTAAAAAAGAAATGACAACATTACAGTAATACACCGCAGTGGCATTACTAACGCCAAATCGACAGGAAGCCCGCCACCTATAATGTAAATATTTAGCTTTTTCGATATGTCAGTATAAAAATAAAATAGAATTTCTGCAACATTAATTTTGACTCTTTCATTCTAAGAATATTAATAATTGTAAATGGAACACGAATGGAAGTTGTGTGAATTGTTAGCTGATTTCTGATAGATTGGATTCCAAGAACTTTGAGTCGATGTGTAAGGCGGAGATGTAAACAACCGAACGGTCAACAATATTAAAATTCCTGGTATAAACTCCAAAAGTGGAACAGCTCAAAGAAAATTTTTGCATTCAAGGTATGTATATTTATGTTTTCTTCAAATTCTCTAAACTATAGGCGAAGAACGATGATGTTTTAAGCGAGTTTATTTCAAGGGGTTTTTAGTCATGCAATCGGACCATTCGCGTAATAGACTAAATTTTGATCTAAACAAAAATTTCATCACAGCTTGATGAAATTTTTGTCTAGACTTGTTGATATCAAAATTTAGTCAAATGGTCAATTGCCAAACAGTGATTTTTGCATATTTAATGAACCAAAGTTAACTCTTTCTCGTAGCGCGTGAATTTATTTGCCCAAAATAAATTATACATTTCTGAAAAGAGCAGTTTTCCAATAGTGCTTGTGCAAAATCTCATAAGATTTGAAAGGATGGCAAATGGAGAAATCTGTCACTTTTTACATGCAATGACAAACAATAAAGATCAGTACCCGTCGCTCTTTATTGTGCACAAATGTGTTCAGTTGTTCAGTTATCATAAAACCACTTTTAGTAAACGAGGGAGTGATGTATCTTTAGCAGAAAGTATAATAAGGCTATTTGGATTTAGGGTTTGGATACCAGGATTAAGTAAACATACGCAATTTCGGCCATTTTTCGATTGCGAAAATCGGTCCTCACAGCTGAAATATTTTTTTTCCTTTTTTTCATAAACAAAAGAGTATTTTTAAAAACTAACCATATGACGTTTCATACTTTGTCATAGTTAACTTAAATTCAAAAGTAGAGCGAATTTAAAATTTTGAGCCTTGTCGCGGTATGTTTGATTTTTGTAGAGACTCGCTCTTAAATCTAGTCAGAAAATATTTTTTTCCAAATAATCTTTGTTACTTCTAAAAACCCATTAAGCTGCGATGCAACTGACTTTATTAGTTAACTCTGTCTACACCCTGACTTTATTATCGTCAAGGCAGGGGTGGAAAAAATATTTTACTTTCTGGGACCGCAAGAGAACGTTGAAAAAATTTCTGCAAATGATTGAGTAAAGCAAACAAGTAACATTAACAAGTTGTCAAACTGAATGTCATGCTATATATTAACAGAAAAAAATCCATGGACTGAGAATCTTATAATAATACTTTCAGGAATATAACATAAAACTAATTTGGGTAACATGTATCAGGGGTCTCATGCTAAGGTAAATTTACAGATGGGGTACTACTAAAGCAGATACAACTGCAAATAAATATTTGACTTGACAGGACAGTTGTCCGATCACTTTTAATTTTGGTCGGACATAACTTGAATTTGGTCAGACAAAAACCAACATCACTAAATTTGGTCGGACATATATACGTCACAAGATATATATAAGTCACGAGACAAGTATGTATAGCCATTCCGGCGCAACGTTAAGTAAAATGCTAGAATGCCTCGTACATTTTATTGCAAAATGCAAATTGAGTGAATTTGCAATCGGATTTTGTCACAGCCAAAAAATGTATGTGACAATTTTTTTTTTGTGATCGGACCAATGTTGCAGCCCTGCTAAGGGGCACTACCAGGGTCATCTGGGGCATGCTCCCCCAGAAAATTTTGAAAATCAGGTGTCTCAGATTGGCTAAAAATGCATTTGCCATACCACATTTGTTACATCATTCTATAGTCTATACATTTATACACTGTTGCACTATTAAGATGGATGCACTTATAATAATTTGCACTTCTGTGGTCATATACATACAGTACAGGTAACATTCTTTCTATTGGATATAATTTTTAATCCTTTAGTCTAAATTTCTACAATTATTTTTTTCTTCCTTGGAAATATTTTCTGGGAACTCAAACATTTTCTGGGACCAATGGTCCCGTAGTCTGATACTTTTCCCACCCCTGCATCAAGGGAAGAGTCTTGGACATTAATGGGTTACTTGTCAACGGGAGTGTCTTGGGTAACTTTGATTTGAAGGATTTGCAATAAGAAGTATGTCCGACCAAGTGCCTTACGAAAGCACGAAGAGAACATACATGGATTACAACCACCTAAATTACATACAGCTGTTGCACAAGCAAAGGAACAAGATACGGTGTACAATTACACACATCAAGTCCTTGTTCTTTTACTTTTACGCTAGAATCACATCAAACTTGGTGATGGTGAGAGGATTTTAAGACTATACAATTTTTTTGCTGATATTTTAAAGTGAGCAAATGCCCTAAGTATGCCATAGCTTACAGGCACAAGTGAATTGCCTTCTGAATCCTAGATTGGCTCTATGCAGTTGAACTTGTATCAGGTAATCACCTGGGGTTTTAAAAGTGACTGTTTAAAATTGGATTATCAATTATCACTGACAGAAATTCGATTAATACAATTTGGAATTGGGCAAAATTAGGAACTGTTTAATTAATATAGGTCAGAATTTGCATGATATCATTGATTATGAAATTTTTGAAACTTTGCCAAATGCTTACTTTAAAATGCAAAATAATGCTCAATACAGGTTCAACTGTATATCATATTATAGTGGCCTACATTGAGCAACTATAATCTGTATCATCACAATCACTATCATTTAAAACAATGTTAGAAATTTTACGTAAGCAAACATCGGAATCATCACTGCTATTGCTTATTTCATCAGATGAGGTATAATCATATCTTGTAGGTGAATGCAATTCCAGCAGACTGTTATCAATGTTCTTTAGATTACAATCTTGAATATGAGGAAAATGTCCTTTCATGCTTGATACAATTAACCATGACTGTAAAGCATGATCCTCATTGAAAAATGTAATCATCTTCTCTAATGAGTCAAGACTTTCAATTCTCCAAAAGTTACTAACTATGTTCTCAATAATTGAAGTAGAAAATCCAGTTGCAATATCAATTCCTGTGAGCAGTTGTTCATCCGGTACATCATTAGCAAGTTTTGCACAATATTTTAACAATTCATCTTTAACCATAGGTAGCCCAAACACACTGTGCGATTTAAATTTAAATGCTTGGCATACTTAATTCCCCCCTGCGGTATCGATTTCAAAATAATAATGTTAACGATTAGCTTATAAGTATTCTGAATTTTTACACTAAAATGTATCACTAATCAATACTTATCGTTGATGGAAATATACTTAGGTACATAGCATACATCAGCAAAAATAAATAGTTTATACCTTT